AAATCACAGAGGACCCATCTGTCATCTCCTCTAAGCAGTCTCCCAGAAAATCCTTTTGAGAAGGGCGGGGAAGGGGAGACTGACCAAGGGGCACCCGGGTGCGCAGCGTGCCATCGGTCAAGGTATGAGTGATCCATCGAGCCAGTACTTTTCGGTAGTCAAGGGCTTACAGGCGGTTGACGACTGTCAGTTAGGTACATCCGAGTCTTGTCGCAAGACTGCGGGTGGTAACCTCCGGATCCTCCTTGACAGCTTCGAGAATGGTGGAGTCTTCCACTTCGTGGGGCCGTCCCAACCGAGGTTTGTCTTCGAGGGTCGTGTCTCCTTTCGCGAAGCGAGCGAACCAAAGATGGACAGTCATGTGGTAGTGGTGTCCTCCGCCAATGCACTGCTGATGTTGCGGACAGCTGCCGCTGCTCCAGTGCCGCGGGGCCACTGATAGAACATGATGACCCGAAGATGCTCCTGTGAAACTGACATCGTAATTAGACCCAGGAAAGTGCAGGCGCCCTCACACAACTCTTGCAGGAAAGCTCCTAGAATGTTCTACAAGCATGGCATGTTACGCCATGTTCGAGCATCAAGAACCGAAAAGTGTAGGCTCTTCAAAAAACACTGAGGACTTCCCTTCCAACCTAATATTACTCGCTCCTTGGTAACGCTGTTGTGGTAGCGGATTTATCCGCTCAGAAGGTGGAATGCTAGGTGAGTTGGTTCTTATACGTTGGGTGGAAATCTCTTCGAGTTTCCTGTCAGTATGTCGGAACCGCTATACAAGATGAGGCGCTCGTAAATTCATACCTTGGTCATGTTCAAGCCCTCAAGAGGTCGATTCAGCCGGAACGTTAGACCTTTGAACAAAAGTCACCTATCAACCTCGGAATGCACACAAATTACTGACTTAATATACAACCAGATAAAGGAAATATTTTGGTTTTAAGTTGGATGGTTTCCTCTCCCATCGATGACCCGCCTCCAAGCTAATGGGAGCATTTGGACTTCTAGCACCTTCTCTTTTTCAACAAGTGTGAAGAAAATACTGTTGATGCTCAGCGATCGACAGATCATCGTAGGACATAGCTTCAACTGACCAGAACAGCTGAAGTCGCACTGCTGGGTCGCATGAGGAAGGCGACTGAACCAGTATTGTCCCTGTCGGAAAACTTCCAATAATAGGCCAGTCACTGTCCAGTGTATTGCTTGTTCCTCACGACCATATCGACAAATGGGTGGTACCACACGGCTAGAAGCCAGCCCCCCCCCCCCCCTCGCCTCCCTCCCTCCCCTAGGGCGATTGGGCTCCAGCTTTTTGCAGCTTGTGGTACCATCCA